TGTCACGGGGGTATGACGTCATCGGGGTGGGGTATGACGCCACCGCGGAGAGGGGAGGTATTCTCAGCGGTCGGTAATTTTTTACCAATATTATATACCAACATTTAATTACATAATTTTTTACCAATATATAATTACACAATACCGATGATCGTTACCGATATTATACCAACATTTAATTACATAATTTTTTACCAACATTTAATTACATAATTTTTACCGACATATTTACATAATACCAATGATCGGTAATTACCGATATTGTATACCGATGTTAACATATTTTTTTAATCTTCTTTCGATTATTTTATCAATCCGCGGTGGATTTTTGCGGCGGTTTTTTGCGGCGGTTTTTGCGGCCGATTTTTACGCCAGCCCGCGTCGCCCGCGCCGCCTGCGCCGTCCGCGCCATTTGCTCGCGTATTTTGCAGCGTAATTTTTTAGTCGCAGTTGCAAAATCTAAGAATTTGCAAACGTATGCATTCAACAATTAGATGCGCAGAAAATGTGACACATGATATACTTATTACTAATGAGCACGTGCACTGTGCCCCCGCGACAACGGTAACAAAACAGATAAAAACGGTTATCGAGATGATAAAAACGGCAAGGAAACGGTAAAAACGATGGTAAAACGGTTAATATGTCTCTAAACTGTGATGTTCATAGAATTGCATTAGTTGAATTTGAATTAATATCGCAGTATATCGCGCGATGTAATTCCACGTAATTTGAATCATCGAATGCAGATGTGCAGACCGTTATGTGTAAAAACTTAGGAACGTGTCAAAGATATACTATTCTATTGATGATTATATCAGATGATAATGTGTCAGCTGGTGCCGAAGGGGAATCGCCGATTTGCATATCTGTCATTTAAGATGCAACAAAGAGAGAGATATATCGATAGAAAAAAGATGTCAACATCATACGAGTATAAAAACGTATTGTAAAAGCACATCGCATTACTGCGCAAGTTGAAAGTCTTAGAGACGAATCTATTGACATGATGGAGATAGACAATGTGTTTATCGACGATGGTGAAGAGTTTCCCGAAGTGATGGAAGTAAACAATTTCGAAAGAATACTCAATTTCAATTCGCTCAATCTCTATGGCTCCGCGATTATATTGAACTTAATACGCAATTTAGAACACATGCAACAAACGATTTTAAGAAAAATTTATACAAATTGATAAATAATGCAGTATTTGGCAAAACTATGGAAAATGTTCGCAATCATGTAGACGTAAAATTGTTGACAAAATGGGATGGAAGGTACGGTGCCGAGGCAATGATCGCAAAACCAAATTTTCACAATAGAAGCGTTTTTTCCGAAAACGCTTTTTTTAATTGCCGTTGAATTGCGAAAACTCGAGGTGAAATTCAACAAGCCGATCTATGTGGGTATGTACATCCTCGACATATCAAAGGTTTGCTTATATGAATTTCACCATGAGTATATGTCTCCTATACATCGTCAAAATTGCAAAATTATGTACACCGACACCGACAGTTTGATTTATCATATTCAATGCGATGATATTTATGAGCACATGAAACGTGATATTGAGCAAGGTTTGATACGAGCGATTATATTGTTGGCAATGTGTATGGTATACCGCTTGTAAATAAGAAAGTTTCAGGCTTGATGAAAGATGAAAACAACGGAGCGATCATGACGGAATTGGATTTAGGACAAAGATGTACGCGTTGAAAGTGGATGGCAAAAGGGATACAAAAAAGGCCAAAGGCGTCAAGAGTAATGTCATAGCGCGAACGATAACTTTTGGCGATTATTCGCAATGTCTGAGAGATGAAGTAGAAAAGAGTCGTCGACAATCATGCATACGATCAAAATTGCACGAAGTCTACATAGTGTTCGAAATGAAAATTGCTCTAAGTCCATACGACGACAAACGGTATATCATACCCGATTCGAGTGATACGTTACCATGGGGTATTACAGAATACCGTTGTAAATAAAATATATATTGTATATTTTTACGTGAAAGATGGAGGAAACATCTGTATATTAAAAAAAAAATAAAAAAATTTATTTTGCATATTAAATTTGTGTTGACACAGTTGACCATAAGATTTCCATGGAGAAGAGATAACCGTCAGGTTGCACGCGCGACGGCAATAAGGCGCGTGACACATGATATTATTATTATTAATAAACACGTTAGACTGTAAGATTCCCAGAAAAAATGTTAGACAAAGTACTAATACAATGACCATAGAGGTATGCAAACTTTGCACAGCTGTTAGAGCAACGAGATTTATTAGAAAGAGATGGCGATGGACCATGTAAGAGTCAACCCGAAGTCGGAGACAAATAGTGTAAGTCGGTTAACGAGTACAAGTACTTATATATTTGATAAAATGTTGCATGACACGAAATTTCGAAAATATCCGAAGAAGGAAGAAGAAGTTATTTTACAACAAAGTCCCCCACGTAAGTTTTTTTTTGTAAAATAGGTTGTACAAAAATTGACTTTTTATTTTTTATAATAATGAATCCAATTTTAGGAATTTAGTTCGAGGAAGACGAAATAGTATCGCCGATAACGATGAAGAGGAGAAGGAGAAGGAGGAGAAGGATAATGATGATGATGATGATGATGATGATGATGAACAGTCCAATGGTAAAAGAGCACGCAACATTTATTATAATAATTTACATCAGATTTAAAAATTTTTTTACTATATAGAAAAACGTTGAAATTTCTGTATAGAAAAGCATTAAAATTAATCTTTAAATTTGATTAATCTACAAATTTGATTTCAGAAGACGAAAACAATATTGA